ACAGTTTTGGTCCATCCTTCAACATACATGTATTAACATTAAATGAGAAAGGATATATAAATGTATACACAAACTCGGCATGATAATTCCTAAAATAATTTCTCCCAGGCATGTAATCACGGTAATTAGAGTACCAGTTCTTTCGATAAGACCCGACCATATATAACAGGTATCATATTACGATATCTAACATGTCTAAAGCATGCCTGCATAAAACAATCAAAGATAAGGGTGACAATAAAAGATAGGCTAATCACACAGCGTGAGTTACCTTGTTTATTTTGAAGAGAAGGCCTGTCACTTCCAGTCAATCATTGTAAATCATTTGTGCTCCACGTGGGTTTGTTGACAATAATTTCACTCTGAATCGTCTATATGTTAGATTATTACGCGAATGTAGTACACAATTGATAAAAGGATTTACATATACCTCTTTTCTTTTAATTTATACAAGATTATTGAAAAGATAAGTTCCTCAGTAGCTATGTAGCCGTCATTAATTCTTAAACATAATTATCTACTTGAACTATTTTGTCCCTCGTAGTATTTCTAAAGATCGCTTCAGTACCCCGTGCTAGTCAAATGTTGAACCCGATTTGTTTATGTTTTAGACATACAGAGTTGTCGTTCGTTCTTCTCTCAAACGTGAAACGTATCAGCAGTAACAAAGTAACTATTCGTTCTATTATTAGGCTATTATTTTTATTGGACTTTTTTACATAAATCAAAATGAATTGTTATGATAAATTCGCCATAACACACGCTTTTTGATATGATAATAACGATGAAGATTGGGAAGGGGTCGAATATGATTAAGCGGGTTGTATGCCCTTAGTTTAAGATACATCCGTTTGGAGTACCATGAAGCGGGGCAAACATCTTGAGAGGTCGAAAGATCAACAAAGCATGCAAAAGTAATAGGCGGCTTCCGCCTAAAAAGGGTGTCAATTCACTTCGATCGGCGCACGGTGGCATTTAATTTGACCGTTTTGCACTGTAATTTTATGTATGTCTAAAACATAAATATTTTTTTTACCCAAATAAAAAAATGGGAACTACCACTGTCCTGTATCATCTTGAATACTCACTTTGGAATTTGTGACAACAAAAAAGTTTTAAATTCCTTCGCATGATTAATGTTGTGACCTTTTTGCACTAAAAAATGTCAACATGTTACTTTTTGGGCATTAAGAAATGGACAAACAATAATAGTATTTGAAAGTAATGACATTTTTTAAAGTTTTAATAGAGTGGTTTAAATTACCGGGTATTTCTTTTTAATTCAGGAAAAAAATTAGAAGTGGACCTCTGTGATATTAATTTTTATATAATCATAGAAATAAAATAGTGTTAATTTTTATCCTAAAATGGGATATTTGTCCACATGACTTAAACAATGTATTTCATTTGTTATATTTGTCCAAAATAAAGATAAAATTCATTACAGTTTATCTAGTATATCACTAGGAAACAGCACGAAACATTTCACATAAAAAATAACTTAATGAAGGATATGGAGATAATGAAACGTATTCAATATCAAGGTCCATAAAACAATACAAAATAGGACCAGAGCAAACATGGACCTCCGAAACAACAGAGGTGGGTTCAGGTGCCATGGAGGAGTGAGCATCACCTGCTAACCGGTCACATCCGCCGTATGCTACTTGTCATGATCGGGAAATAACTGAAAAACCCGTCGTCAATTCAGTTTATAAAAAATGGACCAACAATGAGTATGAAAAACGTTAGTCCACATTTGTCTCAATGATAAATTGTATTTGCTGACAAGGTCACTGTATCGACCATAGAACTTACGAAATGATGACTTTAATCGAGACTGCTAATATTTTTGTTTCATCAACTTGTTTGCAAATAATTTACCTCATTTTAGAAATTGTTCATAAGTAGAGCAAGCTCTTGCGTATCGAATCAACTGAGATACATACACTCCGTATTCAGATGATGAAGGTAAATTGCTGCATAAGTAAGGGAATTTGACGATAGAAAAGTTAAAGTCATCACGTTTCGTGTGAAGGCTGCTTGTAAAAGAGGATATAAAGTAAATCATAGTTAATATTTCGAATGGGAAAAATTGATAATTTTCTTCTATAAAACCTTCAGCCACAAAGTATAGCTCAAAATTTTAATTATGGGGTTTTAACTGAGTATAGTTTAATTAGCATTGCAGAATCAAAATTTATTATAAGAACTGAAACATTATGCATACTTTTATATAATTTATACACTAAAGAGTTATAGATAAAAATCTGCTCAAAAGCCCAGGAACATATCTCGTTAAAGATCCCTTGGGAAGCAAGGTCAGGATATACCTAGAAGCCTTATTGTTTGTTTATATGATGTAAGATCGAGTTACCGTTTGACGTTAAAAGTAAATCTTGAATTTTCCATAAATCCCGAGGCCTGGAAATAAGAGGATTACATGGATACAGATGATTCAAATGGTAGTCAGGGGAGATTCCCCAATCCAGAAATAGTTTGTGTTCCTTTTTGGATATTAACCAATCAGAGACTAAAATACAAGCAAATTTAAAATTTAATTATATTAAATTGAACATCACAGACCCCCTTTTTTTTTACAAGTATTTCATTTTATAAATATGTAAGATACTTTTATTCTTTCTTTTTAAATTCTGAAATTCGAATAAATATCATTACTTTCAAATGATTTTATCAGGGACTTGATTTATCGCTTGCAAAAAATTAACTTAGATAGCTTTTTTTCTACGGAAAAGTCTAATAATTTATTATTCCGAGGTGATTGAAACTATTTTTGTTGTCAGATCTTTTGATATGACTATTCAAGATAAAAGACTGTTTTCAATAAGTCATTTGGATAAAAATATTCAAGGTAAAACCTGATTTGACAATGAAGAAACTAAATAAATGACTCAATTTGAAGAGCACTGAACCCTACTTGACAAAAAATCTTTAGTTAATACTTTTGATAACAGTATTCTAACTCCTGGAAACTAAATGTTCATTGATTTTATTCGTTCAATATTCAAAACTCTAACACTGTGAAATCACTTATTTTAGTGGGGGTATGGATTTTATTGTTTTCGAAATTTTAAGAGACCCATGAATTTATGAACACCAGGAAGTGTAAATTTTCTATGCATAACTTCTAATAATGCAGCAGCATACCTTCAACACATGCATAACTCAATTAATTCGATACCCGAGAGCATGCTCTACGTATGAACAATTTCTAAAACGAGGTAAATTATTGACATTGATAAAGTAGGTGAAACGAGAATTTCAGCTGTCTTTTTTTTTTGGTATTTCACTCGTGAAGTTTACAAGATCAAGGATTTTTTAGAAGTATTTTTTAGATAAGTACTCATTACTGACTAAAAATGGCAGGAAAAACAGCGGATCAGTGTGCATTTTACTGAGGTACGGTACAATTAAGTTGACCTTGTTGCACTCCATTTTAAACTCTTTGGTCAATTACTATAATCTTTATCATATTTTATTAGAGTAATCATATCAATAAATATAATCTTATTTCGCATAAAATAGTTTGAATAATATTTATCATTGAACAAATCTTCAAAATTAATGCGCTAAATTTCTTGTGGGACCCTTTTCCACTGAAAAGTAACATATTTGGATATTAAAAATGTGTGTATAGGCATTGCAATATTTTCTAATATCAAACTTTTTACGACTTAAGTGCTGATCAGTCAGTAGGATCGATTATTCTAAAATAATTAAACAAAGAAAAAAGGTCAGTGATATTAATTTTGAAATACTGGCCAAAACATAAGTTTTTCAAGCAAAAAAAAAAGAATTTTATCTTGACTTCTTTAGCAAATCTTCTTTCCTCGGCAAAGTTTGTTGAAGGAAAATTGTTCTAAAAATGTAAAATGCAACCTTTATATATTTAATATTCCTAGCATATTATAACGGAAAATGTTCTCCGAGAAAAATTAGGTGAGGCTAAAGTTCCAAGATATTAGATTTATATGATGGGAAGAATTGCAGAATTTCTATTAAATATCCTTCCACCACAAGAAAAAGTCCCCTGTAATACTTGCTTCTTTGCGGATTTTTGAGCAGTTTTTTTACTGAACGTTGAACAATTTACATTTTTGAATTTAAATATGTTATTTCAATTGAATTAGAATAAATAATTTTGAAGTAAAATGTTGTGCATGACATTTCTAGAAAGCTGACGATTGGCATACCTTAAAGTCATCATTTCGTAAGTTTTATGGTCGATACCATGACCTTGTTAGCAAATGCAATTTAAAATTGAGTCAAATGCTGACTGAGGTTTTTCATACTAATTTAAGTCCATTATTTATACACTGAATGGACGACAGATTTTTTCCCGTTATTTCCCGATCATTACAAAGAGCAAACGGCGGTTGTGGCAAGGGATGCTTACTCCTCCATGACCCCTGATCCCACATGCGATATTTTAGAGGTCCAAGTTTGCTCTACTCCTATTTTGTATTTGTATGGATCCTCACTTTTGATTCTCGTAGCAGCATTTCTATGCATGTCCGATTACGTTTGCTGCTGCCTATTAACAAAATAAATTTAAAATAATATTTCAATTATTGACCATGTTAAAACCATATTTACTAAAATGAATCATCGAATCCACCCAAAACTTTAGGATCACAATAGGTGATATCATCTGTGTGTCTAAATAATTGGAAGAAGTGGTCGTAAATTACAGTATACACAGTCACATGCGAATGTTTCACATGTTTAAATGACAACAGGTTATAATTACCGTATGAATGTTTAGTTTTTTTTCTGATAAGTTTTTGATAAGAATATTACTTTGATATAACAGAAAATATACCCCAGTAACCGAGAACAATCGAACACCTGGTTAAAGGGGTAGTCATTGGCATCCCAAAATTTCTTTTAATATGATTATTTCATTTATTCATAACTAGGTAAAACTATTTTTCTTGAATGGTTGGAAGATAGATAAAGGTCCGTGTCCAAATTGTACAGCAGCAGATAAAGGATCAGATGTGACACAAACAAGAAAGCTATTAATACAACAGAATCATAATCAACAAATGTTTGGAAAATGGGAAGCCGAAGTTTACAGTCAGAATAGGACTGCATCTTATATTGATAAAACAAAAATAGTAAATAATGTTTCTACAGACGTGGTACTTATTGTGGGTGAAAAAGAGGGATGGGAATTGATAGGTTCCGAAATATCTCTTGAGTTTGATTTAACAGCCGAGGAATTTGACATTTTGTAAGTTTCTATTGCAGTTACAGATAATTGAAATAAATCTGACACATCACATACATACTTTATCCGATTTATCCAAATTAATGTCGTTATGGAGTCATCTAGATATTGTTAATTTCCTTGACACTGTTATGTATCTTTTTAATAGGCTAAATAGCTCTTTAGATGTTCCAATGACACTTTTACCTGTAATTCGTCACATCTATCTCCAATTAAGGGTGGAACCAGGAATAAGAAATGACACAAACAGACCAAACAGAAGTCCAGTTGTTCTTGTGAAACCTCTATATAGGTAAATATTTAAATATTCTTTATCTCATTAACATGCATGTATTGGGTACATGGCACAATTAGTTTGAATAAACAATATAAAAAAACTTTCTCAATTTAAAAAGAAAGTAACTTTTTTTTACATTTTAAAAATCAGTTTCCTAACAGTAGAAACTATTCGGAAAGCAGATTATTTCCTGTTTTTAAGAATTAAGGCAGTAATTAAAAAGAACAATTCACTCTAAAACCGAGACAGGCTACGCACAGATCAGGTAATGTTACAGGGATATAAAAAAACGCCTTCGAAATGATGAAAGAGGAAAATATAGACTTAGTCCAAAGAGATTATACTTATGTGAAAGCTTTCATACACAGAACAGATTCCATATAATTCATTCCAATATGCTCTCTGAAGTAAGATGGGGTCACAATAAAGCATCATTAAATATTAAGAATAATGACATTTAAAAACCATAATTTATTGTTTAGATAACAACATTAGAAAGAGAATTTTTTCAAAGCTTTGAATAGTTTTTTTTTTTTTTTCAATCTCATCATACAATTTAACAAAATGAAAACTTGACGAAATAAGGATTTTTCTGGAAACACAAGAAGTGGAGAAATTTCCCCCTTTATTGACGGGACAATCCCTCCTCTTATACTTATCAGGTGAATTTATTTTGAGCCAAATTAGTTGATAAGCGCTGTATATATAATAGAAATGTTTGAGGAAAGAATTCTAATCGGGGCAATGCAAGCTACAACCAAAGTACTGAAAACAGTTTTCTTGTATGCATATGTGGAAATTTACACGTATTGTTGACCTTTCGGTCAACATCGAGAAAAAAAATTTTTCATAATGAAAGAATACAGGTCAAAAGAATTTTGATGCAGCATTGTCATGTTTATTAGATTGATAGTGAAAAATTCTTTTATTTTCTTTAATTCAAGTTACATTATGCATGACCGAAAGGGCCAAATATTACGCCACTATATCATGTTATTTAAAATAGAATAAAGAGGGTGAGAAATTTGTTCTTTTAATTTTACTCTAAAATAGATAGCTAAAGTTATTCAGAGGAGTATTGAAGGTCAATGGCATCACTGGTATTGTATTTTTTAATATATATATATATTAGTTTAGAGATAGGGAAGATACACACGATACACCTTACTTCTGTTGACAATGATGGAGATGCAATACGCTGTGTGAAATCGATATATGTGGAATCTTCAGGAATGGGAAGCTTTGTAAAGAACTTAACAAATCAAAATCTGTTGTTCCTTAATCGAACGGTGTGTATTACTGCAATTATTTTGAACATATATTTTGGAACGTTTTTTTAACTGTGAATTCTACAGATTTTCCTTGCAAGTAGTCTTAGATTAATGTGGAAAGGAATCATATGTAAAATATAACTAAAATCTTTCTTAATTCGTATATTTTCTTTTTTGACTTTTCTTCTAGACATGTGTTATAAGGATTAATGTCAGTCAAAACTATTTTCATGAGCATGACACATTTGGTGTAGCAGTCACGGTAAAAGATTACGGTACACATCCGTTATCAATTCAGAGTACAGTACTGAGGCCTTTTTTTCCATATATGAACGTTATTGGAAGGGTTGTGGTATTGGTATGTGTAATGATAAAAAGGAAATATCTTTTCATAAACGGCATTGAATTTTCTGCTTATTTAATATCTTTAATGCACAAATCGATAATATTTTGGGGATAAATATGTTTTTTTAACCTCATATTTTAGATGTATTTCAAAATTACGGGAAAAACAGATCCCCCAATCATCATTCCACCTACTCCTCGTAATAACCAGGAGTATACTATTTATGTTGGGGGAGAATTTCATGTCGATGTTTATGCCAAAGCAACAGTTGGCAGGTATGGCTTTGAAATTTTGAAAAGTCAACAAATCTTCAAAGGTAACCACTTCTGGAACACTTCTTGTTTTTCTTTTGAAGGAAGATTGTGCGATTTGATTTCCTTCGACGGGATGGTAAACCGGTCAACCATACAGAAATTCAAAATGCATCCCATATCAGTGATAATGCTGTTTTTATATCAACAAACTGGTCTCCGACAAAAGTGGATAAAGGCCATCATATCCTTTGTGCAAATGCTGAAGATAATAAAAGGTGACCTCAAATTACTATAATACAACAAAAGTTTGTGAAAGATTATGAAGCGAGTTGTAAAATAAATTTTCATAGTATTTTACAGATATGTAAAATACTTACTGATAAACAATTTTTAAAAATTAATTTGATAGTTGATTTTTGCTTTTATTTAAGCAGTATATGCAAATTTGTTATTGTTATCGTTATTGTTTATGTTATTGAAATTTCAAAAATCCCCTTTTGGTCGTTCTAATGCTTTGTTATCAAATATACAATTACAAATATACAAATATACAATACAATTATATTATTTTGACCTGGAATAATGTTCGTTATCTCCATATGTTTCATAAACACTTTTGATGGTAAACATGTTTTTTTTTCATCAGAAAAGAGATCATGATTGTTAAATATAAAGTTAGAACTTGAATGGATAAGATGTTTAAGGCTTCCTGACTAGCCAAGTTTTATTGACAAAAGTATATTGAAGAACAAAAAGTGAAACGTAGGTTTTACATGTCACCTGAGCATCATGCAACAACATTCCACCTGTCGAATTTGGTTCCTTTTTTTGGACAAGAGGCCATGACACTCACAGTTGTCAAAGAGGCAACATTTCTCATAAAAACTATTCACTTACCATTCTTAGTTTGGTTTCATAACACTAATAAACAGAGTAGAGTAATAACAAATGCATTTCAACTTATCAGGAATATTCAGCAATAATCAGTAGTGTCCCCAACCCACACAAATCTCTTACCCTGAGAGATTAGAATCGTCACAATTGCTCATCAATTATTTTTATAAATACAAAGGGGCGGATTTGTTCAAGATTGGTTGAGCGGTTGTAGAGAAGGAACAAAATGTAAAACAAAATAACACACGTCGCATGGGGGACGACCGACGAAAAACGAAATGCAAAAGGTTACCTAAGGTGATCTTATATTTATAATGTCCAGTGTACAATTTTTAACTTCCGGGTTTTGCTTCCATTTTGTAAAATACATTGAAATATTTGAAAAAAAATCCTGTGTTAGAATTGCAAGACAGTGATTAATGCTTAAACATGCATTTAGCTCCAACCGTTGCAACGATTGTTTCTGAGTATTTTAGGTATTGATTATGATGTCCCAATTCTGCTGCACGCACATTGACCTTTCAATAAATCCGATAAATGTGTAGAGAAATGAACTGTTTATGTTTGCATATATTACATAGCTGTTAAATGTCTATTTATAGACTACACATGTATATATTATTACAGTTTTCATTGGTTCGAATTTCGACAGGTATTTCATACTAATTGTAGGGCCTTGTTTTTAAACTGAATGCAGTTACATCCATCTACATTATTTTTTACATCATTTGTAATAACATAGGACGTACAGTGTTTGGTGACAAAGGATGCTTACTATATACTCCCAGACACTTTGTCCCCTCCCTAGAATTTCCAAGAGTTCCTGAAATTTATTAGGTTTCGAAATGTAAAATGTTTTCAGATCGTTCAACATTTCTTATTATTGACTTTTTTTTTATAGAGGAGTGAGCATCCCCTGCAGTCAGTTCACACCTGCCGTGTGCTCCTCGTCATTACCGGGAAATAACAGAAAATTCGTTGTCTATTCAGTGTATAAATTGACTTACAATAAGTATGAAAAAAATCAGTCAGCTTTTGACTTATTGATTACTTTTATTGCATCTAAATCTATTATCTATCTTACAAAGGAAAGCAGAGAAGAGATCACTATAATTATACATATAATATAATTAATTTGCATAAAAAAAGAAAATCTGAATTTAAAGATGTAATTTTATCAAATAATGCGTTATTATTGGAAACCAGCAAGTGTATTTAAAGAAAGTAAAAATGATTTTAAATTACTGTTCACGATTGTGAGATAGGTTCTTCAAACAAATTTTTCATAGTAAAATCAACATTTTTTTTTGCAATGAGTTGAGCTCCACTCCGGATGAAAATAGAAATTTAAAAAATTCGAACAATTTATTGGACACCATATTCATATAAATATATAAATACAAGGGGTGATCAAAAATTCGCGAACTATCTCAATATATACAAAACCACAATTCAGATTAGAAAAAAAAATTGGTACACACATAGCCAAACACAAGTTCTATAAATAGCATATGCTGAATAATGTTTTGTTTCTTGTTTGTGAAGTCACAATGTGAAAATGACGTCACTATATAGATCACTTGTGACGAAAATTCTTGTCTCAGTTGTACTCGTTCAATAAACGACTGTAAAATTGATAATGTATCTTAGAAATTCTTTTGACCTCAGAAGTGGCGTTTAATAATTTTTACACAGTTTATCAAGACAAATGACTTTCTATAAATTCAATCAATTGGATTGATCGTTTTAATGAAATAAGGTCGATGGTTAAAATTAATACTTGGTAAGTTGCCCAGTGAACTCACGTCTGAAGAGATGTGTTTTTATGAAGCAATTTGCTACCAAACACCTCCAATTTACAAATTGAGAAATAGTTGAATATTTCAACAATAATATAATTATTAAATACATATGATATCGATTACTTCAGATTTAAAACATATAAGATATATGATAAAAGGGAGGCACCAATTCTCTATAAACCTGGAATAAACGTCTTTCCCGAAACAGAAAATTTAGGTTTAATGGTCGCCATGCTTATTTTTGGAAAGGATATTCTTATACACCCAATCTGTTGCCGAGATTTGACCATTTCTGACAAACAAACTGTTCTAGTTATGAAAAATAACTTACATGGAAAAAAAGATAAAACTCTGAAAAATCTTAAAGCTTTTGTTACAGAACGCTACGGAGGGGGTCACGTTACCGCCTATATCATGTGATTCTCGTACGAGCAGAATGGTGGCAGAAGGGCATCAGAATTGGAGAGGACTAGTTTAAAATATAATCAATATTGAAACCGAAGATTGTATCTTTTATGAAAGGTATTCAATTAGTTTTCGAAATTTCTGATCACCCTCATATACCTAACAATAATGTTGACCAATGCCAGTTATTCTGAAAACCAATTTTTGAGAAGTCTTGATCAAGTCCTCAGAGTGTAAATCAAAAACTACGATAACCTTTTTATCAAATTCTCGATACTATCAAATATAATCTTAAAATTCCAGAAAGAGTTTCATTGAAAACTGTTGATGTAATCAATGTAAAATGAAACAACCAAAATGTTACCTTATTGAGAAATAATCTTTAATTGAAACCTTTATGCATCGAATTTCTGAATCATCGAACAATTTAAATTCACTATACGATCATGGTAGCTTAATAGTAGAGCACTTGAATCATGAATTCGAATCTCAACAATGACTGACCTTGGTCGGTAAAAAATGCGTACGCAAGTGAGTTAAGGCTACATTTGGAAGTTTCTATGCAAAATATCTAATTAAATTTCATAATTGCTCTACTTACCAAACAGAAAATGTTAGGACTTGTTTTCAAATACATTCTTGGTACCCACGACATGCAATAGCCAGCACACATTATGACGTCATTTTATGACGCCATCGACCTCTACTACACACGTTTTAAAGAAACATTAACAAAATCTCCTCGGCGCAAGGCCATACCTTACAGAGTATAAAAAGACGAAGAATATTCTAGGGATTTAAGATATTGCTGCACAAATGTCGGCACTGCAATTGTTTAGTTACTATTTTTGCAGTTTTAAGTTTAAACATGGTAAAAATTTACAATACAGTGTAAATTTCCTTAAATTTTTATCGATTGAGAAAGTGCATAGGATCTGTGCAGCAATTTTATTAATTTTAAGAACATTCTCTTTAATATAATGCATTGTTTATTTGATGTATTATCAATTAATAATGGTAATTTTCATTCCTACGTCGATACGATATATATTGGTAAGCTTGAGATAAAAGATACCACAGAGTCAGACACTTCTCTTTCATACTTGGATATTCTTCTTGAAAAAGACACTAATGGTAATCTAACAACCAAGCTATATGATAAACGTGATGACTTTAACTTTTCTATCTTCAACTTCCCTTACTTATGCAGCAATATACCTTCATCACTTGCATACGGAGTAAATATATCTCAGTTGATTCGATACGCAAGAGCATGTTCTACGTTTGAACATTTTTTTAAAACGAGGTAAATTATTGACAAGCAAGTTGACGAAACAAGAATATCAGCAGCCTCCTTAAAAGTTATAA